CTTTACCACGTGGCTCGTGGCTTATTGGTATCTTACATCTTCCTTGTCCTGTCATTTTCTCCAGGCAATCTCTCCGTCCACTTCCTCTTTCCTCAATTCTCTTCTCTGTTAGTCCCGCCTATACTTCTTTCTGGCTATTGGCCAATCAGTGTTTATTTATACAGAGCAATATCCACAGCACTTCCACGCCAGATATTGGTGAAATTATTAAGGCCACTCCATGTAGTTAAAAGGGAGATTTATTTAATGGCATAACATACAAATGAAGGGATAGGTAGGTGGAGGGTTCTGGGAAAAACGCAGCACAGTCAGGTGGTGTTCTCTAGAGAACTCTCCTCAGTCCACCTCTATCATCCAGCATCCAAACAAAAAGAGAGCGCAGCACATTCTGATCTCGGGTCTTCAGGGCCCTCACTTGGCCCTGCCTTGTAGGCGAGATAGTTACTGAAGCCTCAGTGGGGGTTCGAACTTCCAGACCAAAGCTAAAATGGCTACCCACTACAGCAGGTAACTTGTGGTTTCCTTCCAGGATTCTTCTATGCTTCTGCTGTAGGGAGTTGTAGGAATAGCACAAGCTATTCCATGGTGAATGTAGGGTGTTGAGAGAACATCTGCTGAGTGGTCCTTTCTGCTGGGTTTTGGATGAACCATGAGGCAGATTGTGGATCTGTTAGTCCATTTGGGAGCTGGGAAATGGCCCTTCTCTTCTGAGCCTCCCTAGAGAACGGGAGACTCTGCAGCCCTAGCACGAGAGGACATGATGCTTATGATATCACTGTCCAGTGTGCACACACAGGCAAACTTTTGATGTGCAGTGGGAAGACAGATTGGCAAACAAAATGCTAGAAACCAAACCCAGGTACCATAGAAAAGTAATGAATGCTCTTGATTGCTGAGCCTTTGCTCAATTTCCTCACGTTTTGCCCCCATCACAAATCTGATTGATCTTTTCTGAATTTGATATTATTGCTATTGTTTAATTAGTTTTGTTTTTTGTTTGTTTGTTTTTTCAAGACAGGGTTTCTTTGTGTAGCTTTGAAGCCTTCCTGATGTTCATTATGTAGACCAGGCTGGACTCAAACTCAGAGAGATCTGCCTGCCTCTGCCTCTCACGTGCTGGGATTAAAGACAAGTGCAACCACTATGGTGATATTTTATTTGTGCTGAAATATGATTTTATTTGTATATAAAAGTAAAAAATAAAAAGCAAGGCATTTAGCAGAAGTCTGACAGTGGTAGCACATGCCCTTAATCTGATCACATGGCAGGAAGAGTCTGTGTGTTCAAGGACACAGCCTGCTTGGAGACACACGCCTTTAATCCAAGTACCAACTATAGAGAACTGGAGGTCTGTGTAAACAGGCAGTGATGAAGAAGTCATGTGGTTGGGTTTAGAACCAATGAGAAGGCAGAAGAGAAAGTCAATAAAAATACAGACACACAGGAAGTAGGTCTCTTTTCTCAGGGGAAGGACAGCAGCAGCTGGCAAGTTAAAGGCTATTCACTAGTGCTCTGACCTCTTGGGCTCTTAACTCTTTTTTTTTTTCGAGACAGGGTTTCTCTGTGTAGCTTTGCGCCTTTCCTGGAACTCACTTGGTAGCCCAGGCTGGCCTCGAACTCACAGAGATCCGCCTGGCTCTGCCTCCCGAGTGCTGGGATTAAAGGCGTGCACCACCACCGCCCGGCTCTTAACTCTTTATTTGGCTGTGTGTTTCTTATTTAATAAGACTATTTAGAATTGCATCTACACACCACCACCTGGCTTAGTTTAGTTTTTTGAGACAGAATCTCCTATATCCCAGAATGACCTTGACCTCATTTGAATCCTTGAACCTCTGATCCTTCTATGTCTCAAGAAGTACTGGGATTACAAGTGTGTCAGGCTTCACTAGCCTATAAGTGCCTCCAGTCTGACTTGCCAGTGAGAATTGGTGGAGGGCTCTTGCTGGGGCCAGGATGTAGGCTCAGCTTTGTAGCAGACTGGGCTTCAGTGCTTTTGTGTGCCATTCTGTGAGTGCTGCTGCAAGGAGCTGAGAGGGGAGCATGGGCAATCTGGAATGGCATGGTTACCAAGGGGCTGTAGTCCCCAGATGGGAAAAGTGGATGATGAGACTCTGAAGCTGGTGTGGCTCTGCTCTCTGGGGTTTAGTGGGAATGAGCAGAGAGATTTGGTGTCCTGTGTGGTCCCATGTGGTTCTTGTAACTCCCTGGACCCAGGTGCCTGCCTCTGAATAACTTTGTTCCATGAGCTTCCTCTCTGCACAGCATTGGGAGCAGGGGCTGTGTGTGGAAACATTTTTGTAGTTCAGGTCAATATGTTTTTAGTGCATCCAGGGAAGCAGCTCACCAAATTCATGGAGGCCTAGTTTTTCTAATATCTTAAAGACATTATGCACTTCACATTTAACATTCAGGTGAAAGATTCATTTGTATTTAATTTTGTACAAGTTGTAAGTGATATGTCTTATGTTGGGTAGCAATCTACTTCCTCTGATGTAGAATAAAGGAATTGGTGATATAATGGATTTTCTCAATTCTCAAGAGATGGTAAGTCAAAGAAAGAATTTAGCTAAAGGATGACTACCTCTAAAATACCTCAAAGACAAATATATCCTAATGAGGACTGTTAGAGCTTAGGATGCTATGATATATATTTCTTCACCAAGATTGTCCTGATATATGGCAACAAAGAAAGAAGACACTCCTAATTTGCAACCAGACACTAGACCCATGCCCATATCAAAGAGCAGGCCTATAACCAGCTGCTCAAGGGAGCATTATAGGATCACAATCAATATTCAGGCCTGGTGTGCCCAAAAGTTTCAGTTTTCTTCTTCTGAAAAGCATAGTATTGAAAGACAGGCAATGTGACACAAGGCGACCTGCCAGTCAGAAGTGGTGCAGGGTCCTTCTGGTCACCAGCTTCAGGCTTGATTTAAAGAGGAGCTGGTGCCAGTGGATTTGTGTGGTGTGCTGTCTGTGCTGCTTTGCCTCTTCTGTCTCTTCCTGTCTATCTTCCTCGTTTGAATACAGACTATTTTCTATTGCTTTCCTGTCCAGTATGACTCTAGTGACAGATATGTGTAGATTGGTGTGGGAATGAAGAAAATGAAGACAGACATAACACTGGGACCCAAAGAAAGCTGGAACCAGGTGTTCTCTGTTCTCTGAAACCACAATACCTGAGAAGTTTTGTGTCAGTAATACCTATGTTTAAATATAGTTAAAGATTTACTCCATGGTGATAATAGACGGACAGGGTTACTATCAAAAGCTATGCAAATACTCATGCTTGGCTCATCTCAGTACTTCCAGTCTCTTTAGCCTTGAATTATTGAGGCCTAAACATCTGAAAAGGGCAAATTATGGTGGAGAGTTTTTTTCCCAAACTATTAATATTCTCATCAGACCACAGAAGGATTTTTAATGTTCTAAGGCTCAAGCGATGAGGGCAAGTTTGTTTGCCTTTGTGTGTGTGTGTGTGTGTGTGTGTGTGTGTGTGTGTGTGTGTGTGTGTGTGTGTGTGTCTGTGTCTGTGTGTGTGTCTATGGTCCTTGATCTAGCTCTACCCATGTAAACAGCTCTAGTTTACTCACAGATCTACTCAGTCCTTATTTTGTTCCCCATATGTTCTTCCAATGATTGAATCTGTTATAATTTTCCAATAACAATCTACTTTGAATTTTCATGACATACTTTTTTGGACATTTTCTGTAATGCAGTAATGGGCATTAATTACACAATATCAGTATAAAATTAATATCCAACATTCCAAAGCAGCAGAAATTGAACATAATTTTTATTGACAATTGAGAAAAATCGGGGACCAATTGGAGGATCAAAACAATCTATATTATATTCCATAAGTATCAAAAATTAGCAACACAACATATTTATATAAAAGCTATAGCAGTCTAAAATCAATATTCGGTACCGTAAAATATGCAGAAAATTATACAGTGATTTTGACTTGATATAGTTATCTATAAAATTATTGTTAGAAGTCTTCATATTTCAAATTATTTTTTCATATCTTGTGAAATTAATCTTATGTCATTTTAATACTTGATTATTGTGTAATTCTGTTTGATACATTGCTGAATATGTAGATTGTTTTCCAAGAATCTTTTGTGAACATAAATTTTATTTCTTGGTTAAATGTTTCTAAAATCACAGCAAGCATAAGGCTTCTTGATGTCACTCCTCTGACACTGAGTAAGGTCTGAACTTTTGCTAAAGGTTTCCTTCCACTACCCATATTGCAGAGAATCATTTTATTGCATGAGTACTGGGGTAACAATTATCAATTGAGTTTGTTTCTTTCATGAATTTTCTGACATGTTCTAAGTTTTGAGCTTCTTGTAAAGATTTTTTTTTAATTCTGTACATGTGGTAAGTTTCTTCCCATTAGTGATACTCTGGCTTGAATATTTGAGGACTCCATAACACTTGCCACATTCTTGATATTGTATGAGTTCTGTCTAATATGGATTATGTGATGATCTTCAAGATTTAAAAACCCACATAAGGTTTTCCCACATACTTTGTATTGGTAAGTTTTTTCAATGTATGGTTCTAATGAGCTTATGTAGTAATGATCCATGGAAAAAGGACATAACACATAAGACATTCATTACACTTTTAAGGGTTCTGTCTTCAGTGGTTCTTTAGTGGCCTTGAACATGTGAATCATGGACATGATCAGTATATTTTTAACTTTCTTCTCCATTTTGAATTCTGTATTGGACTTGAAGTGTTGAGGCCCTGTCAAAGGACTTGGCACACTGTTTACATCTGTAATGTTTCCATTCTGTGTGGACTTTGGGATGTCTTTGTAGATGTGAGATCTGCCTAAAGAACTTGTCACATTCTTTACATCTCTAAGGTTTCACTCCTGTATGTATTCTTTGATGAATATGGAAATTTGAGCTCTGAGTAAAGTACTTTCCACAATCTCAACATTTGTAAATTTTCCCTCCAGTGTGTATTCTTTGATGAACATGAAGGTATGAGCTCTGCGTAAAAGACTTTCTACATTTTTTACATTGGTAAGGTTTATCTCCAGTGCGTATTCTCTGATGAACTTGAAGTGATGAACTATGAGTAAAAGACTTGCCACAATCTGAACATTTGTAAGGTTTTTCTCCAGTGTGTATTCTTTGATGAACTTTAAGTTTTGAGCCTACAATAAAGGACTTTCCACATATATTACATTCGTAAGGTTTCACCCTAGTGTGTAATCTTTGATGAACTTTAAGTGCTGAGCCTCTGGTAAAGGACTTTTCACATTCTTTACATTTGTGAGGCCTCAATCCAATATGTATTCTTTTATAAATTTGAAGTGTTGAGCTCTGAGTAAATGACATGTCACATATATTACATTTGTAAAGTTTATCTCTAGAGTGGACTCTCTGATGAGCTTGAAAATTTGAGGTCTTGTTAAATGACTTTCCACTTTCTTTATATTTGTAAGGTTTCTATCCAGTGTGGGTCCTCTGATGGATACGAAGTTTTGAACTCTGAGTAAAAGACTTGTAACATGATTTACATATGAAAGGTTTTTCTCCTGAATCACTTCTCTGAGGAGGATGAAGAGAAAACCCATGGGCAAAGACTTGCCATACTCTGTACATTTGAAAGCATTCTCTTCAGTGTGGATTTTACAATGAGCTCTGCACTTTGATTCATGGGAATGGAACCTGTCTTGCTCTGGACATTTGTATGATTCTTTGGTCATTTAGATTTTATGATGTTCCTTAAGTACTGAAAACATAGAAAACAACTTTCCACATATATTACATTTGTACAACTTTTCTCCAGTATGAAACACATTAATTCTGAAAAGGTCTGAGCATCTCATGTAACTCTTCCCCAATTTCTTATGATTTTTGTCTAACACTGAATCTTGGATTATCCTCAAATTTTCATGGGTGGGTGAAATATTGTCTACATGCTTTGAATGTTGTTTTTTTCCCTTCAGTGTGGCTTGAGTAATTTTGAATAGTTGAAAGGAAATTGCAGGAACTGAATGGAAATGATGCAGAGTAAGCTTTTGGGGGAGAAACTGGATCTTCTTCATCTATACAGTCAGGAATGTCAGTGATGGGTGCTACAAAAAGATCACTTCCATCAGCACATGATTCACACTTTTCATTGTCAGATCTACATGACCAGAACTCCCTTATGTGTAATTCACTAAGGCTATTACTTTCAAACTTTCCTAATAATTCTCTTTGGCATGTGTCCTGCGTACATTCTTTCGTGAATGACTCATGAATGGGATAACAAAACAGAGCTGGAAGAAATGAAAGGCAATTTATTATCTAACTGTGTAGAATTAGACAAAAAATAAAATATAAATTTTTTTTTATAAAATGACACTAATATGTGGTACGTACCAAGAAGATAAAACACAAATCTTCAGTACTTCTTCCATAAAGAATTCATGTACAAACATGATGAACATGGATAAGGCCATTTCATGAACTTATATTTTATAATATGTAAAATTTGAAAAGGTCTTCTTTAAGCATGTAATGTAACTAAAAACGGTAAATATAATTGTTGGAATACAAAATGAAACTATTAACCATTATTAAAAATATTCTGTTCATTTGGAAATTGCATTATTAATTTAGATCAAAATATCGTTTCCAAGCAGATAAATGACAAAGTGATAGAAATAAGAAAAATCACCTATAGATTTTCTGTAATTAGTTATTTAATACATGTTAATATGTAGTTATTTGGGGAGAGTAATTATTGAAAAAAAAGAATAAAATGATCATGAAAAAAATATGTGTATCAGGTCCACAGAGTTTTATATCCATGAGGAGAGAAAGTTTCAAAATCCCCACAATTACATTGATAATTCTCTAAGTCTTTCATTTTTTCAGATGCCTAGGAATATCTTATATTGATAAGAGACTTGTCTTTCATCTCAGCATTTGGAAGGCAGAGGCAGAGGCAGAGGCAGAGGCAGAGGCAGAGGCAGGTGATTCTCTATGGTTATGAGGCCATCCTGATCTACATATTCATTTCCTGGCCAACCAGGGCTACATTGTTACAGACCCTGTCTCCAAAAAGAGGAAAGGTGAGAAAAGCAAATTATATGTCCAGGCAATAAAAAATGCCAATATAGTCAATTAGGCCAAGTTGTTCTTTGCAACATTAAGATGGATGGGTTTCTCCTCTGTAAAACTAGTTGTCAGCAAAGCAACCTTGATCTTGGCCTCACTATGTCCTGTCCTAGTGTAACTAACTGATAGAACCATCCCTTCAATGTGAATCACAGTGTGACTTTTTCTCAAAATGCTCTTCATTAACTTGAATGCAGACTATGAATGGTGGCCAGAGTACATTACAATCTGTATTTTGTAAAGATTCTTACATCTCTAATATGTTTCTATTCAAAAACACAAAATGTAAGCTGGACAGTGGTGGCACTTGCCTTTAGTCCCAGTACTCAGGAGACAGACGCTTTAATCTCAGAACTCTGAAGGGAGAGGCAGTCAAATTTCTGTGAGGTCCAGGCCAGCCTGGATTGCAGAGCAAGTTCCTGGACAGCCAGGGAATTTACACAGGGAAACTCTGTCCCCCCAAAAAAGCACCACATTGATAAAAGGCCTACTGAGTTAAATTTATATTTTGGAAGTAGACTGAAATGTAGAATTCTATTTCAAAGTAAAATATCATAACTCAGAGTTTACATGTAAAATTCAAAAATTCTGTTTTAAATGTAAATTTGGTTTAAATATAATTATATCATTTCATTTAAGGTTATCCCAGCCACTTTCCCTCCAACTCTTCCCACATCCTCACATCAATAATATAACCTCCAGTTGATAATTGTTACAGTTATATATTTATGTAAATATTTATTCAAGTATACATACAAAATATATAACTTCAGAATGTTAGTCCAACTTTATTGTTAATGATTATATCATTTCTGGTCTCACCACTTTGCATTAGACAAGTATTAACAGGGATAATCCATGACAGATGGTAATTCTCCTTGTCACAGCATTCAATTGGTGTCTATCATTCTTTGATTAGGGATTTGAGATAGGGTAATATTATGAATTGGGAAACAAAAATTTGGGAGAATTTTTCAGTGATGATGGGAGGAAAGTCAGTACAATAGGTGAAAGAGAGACTAGCAATAACCTTAGCACTGAGAATAAGAATTGTCATTTAAATTTTCTGGTAAAAAATACATATTATGTGTAATGTGGATACTATGACATTTCTTTTCCTACCTGTATCCCCTTGAATGTCATATCATCTTAGACTGACACATACGTCCTCAAGCATAACATATAACAGGTATGGAGAGAGTGAGTATCCTTTATTTTTCCATTTATAGAAGAACTGTTTTGAGTTTTCTCCATTAAGAAAGTTTATGTTGGTAATTACTTGTGATAAACATATTCTATTATATGTAGATGTGTTCCTCCTCCAGCTGAATTATATAATGAAGTAGTGTGATTGTTGAAAGCCTTTTCTGAGTTACTGAAGAGATCATTTGGTCTCTCATAGACTGTTCTTCTAATGTATTACATATATTGATTAATTAAGTTGATTCTCATTACCATCTCTTTGATGAAGCCACTTTGATCCTAGTAGACACATTATTTTCATGTGTTTTTGAAATGGAAATTTTCCATTTTGTCTTATGTTTGCAAATGTATTGGTGTTAGTTTTTCTCTAATTATCTGGAGGGATTCTTTCCTGAATTCATCTGGCTTTCCTAAGTTGAGTTTTTTTTTTTTTAATTGTTCCTTCTATTCAACTTTAGAACATGTGACATGATAAATTATTTATGTCATTTGATTTATATTTGTTAGGTTCTATGCTAAGAAATTCACTCATTTCTTTTTGATATTATGCATATTGTAGATAAATGGATAGAACTGAGAAGAATTATAGTAAGTAACTTAACCCAGAAAGACAAATGCTGCATATTTTCTCAAATTTATGGATGCTAGCTTTTAAGATTTTAGTCTTTATGTTTTCCAGAGTTTTTAGTAAGCTAGTATGGGGCCAAATGGGATGTAGAGATTTTCAACAGAAGGGATAATTTGTAGAGAGCCATGCACGGCCATGTCTCAAAGATGGCACAGCGTCTGGCTTCTGCCTTCCCGATGGCAGGTGTTCTCTGGGATAAAAAACTCCTTATTTGGCTAAGGATAGGATCTGGCTTACTTCCGCACACCTGGACCTAATCTGGCTTGCTTGCGTATGTCTGACCCTATCGGCATTGTCCACGTGGCACTACGGGGTTGATTGCCCAGTGGCTATAAATGGCGTGGGCTGGCTTTCCCCAGTAGGAAGATCGGAGGAGGGAGGAGATCAGAATGAGAGTGAGAGAGAGAGAGAGAGAAAGCGTGAGTGAGTGAGTGAGTGAGTGAGTGAGTGAGAGTGAGTGAGAGTGAGAAAGAAGAAGAGGATGGCTTTCCCCAATTTCAGAAGATTGTTCAAGGTTCCTGAATAAACTGCTTGGAGAAGAACCTGGCGTCGCGTCTTCCTTGCTGGTCAAGGTGGACGTGACAATAATTAAAAACATCACTGTTAAAAAAAGGAGAAATTAAAGAGTATTAAGTCATGAAAGTGATGATAGAGTAGTGTAGAAGAGCAAATACAAAGAGGAGTAACTATGATTATAGGCCTGTTCTTGATAATCTTAAAAATTTATTTATATATTTATTGACTCTATGTATATGGGCATGTATATGATTGGATGGTAGTTTTTAGAACCCTCTTTCCACTGTCTGTGTCCTGGTGATTGAACTCTGCAAATCAGATTTGCAGGAAAGTATTTTTATCTCTCTGGACCACTGGAGAAATCTTTTGAAGAAACATAGACAACTGTACTTCTGTAGAATCTTGTTAAAACATGTGTATATCTAAAAACAATTTAAATATCTTTACTATATGATGGTGTAGCCAATACCCAAACTTGAAATCATGTGCCAACAAATAATGCTACATTGCTATATCATTA